TCTCTCTCTCTCTCTCTCTCTCTCTCTCTCTCTCTCTTCGTAATTCAGGCCTCCCACATCCCACAGAGCGTGCACAGCTGTTGTGTCAAGACCAGGACATTGACTCCAAAACAATGAATAGTAGCCTCGTCATTAGAATTTTCAGTCAACACCAAATGATAAAGTATGTCGTACTATCATCAACATCAGCCTACTATTCTTGGTTGCATCCCTCCTTTATACATACAAACGTGGCGTTTTTTATGAGACGGTTTTCCAATTTTTTTTTATCCGTTCCAGGGCCATGGGAGAGCTATGAATGATTTACCCAGCTTATGTGTACGGCTTATGTTGAGCTACTGTGAAGAAGACAAGACGAGCGATACCTCACAGACTTTGGTCTTTTTCAACATTGACCTTTGACTATAACGTCCCTTACATTATTATTTATTCAGGATTGTGGAGTGATATTATCAAACTAACCTCTGTAATTTGAGCATTAAGTATTGTATGGGTTTTACGCCTATTTCAACGCTGTATGAGGAGAGCTCTCGGATTTTCAAGTCCATCTCAGAGGGCATAAAAAGAAGCCATGAAACAAAAAGTATTTGGATTTATAACAGTAATGGCATTTTACAGGGTGTTATAAACATGTCTGGTTGCATACGACAATGGTCAGGTTTTGGGAATAGATTATTATGTACCGTATGAGGTATGTTTCTCTGATCAATACATCGATTCGTAGGTATAGTCTCAGCAGACAATAGTATACCAGTACCTGTTCATGTGCAATGGCGGTTGCTGGGTGGCGTTTTATCAGTCTTAACAAATTTGAATATCCGAAGAATGACTGCCCTTGCTAGATGTGCTTACATTTCTGCCTAAGCCCACAAATTAAATGCTTCTGATGAGAACTTTCGAGTCATGATAGTGATATAGTGGATCAGACCCTCAGCAGCCTCAGTTGGCAACTGACGTACGTACCGTACTAGAATCTACGACTTTTGCTTTGGGCAAGACAATTCCATTGATCTGTGAAGAATATGGTGTGATGGCACTCATTGACCTTTATATAGGAGAAACGGGTCTCCCGTTTCCAAGAAAATAATATAAGCTTAAGCCTACTAATTTATTCATAGAGTGTTATCTGCAGGCTGTCAATTCTATGGAGACCCTGAACTATTCTGATACTCTTTGAGCGTGTTCTATTTTCAAGTAGGCCTACGATATATCTCTATTCTCATAACCTTTTTACCAATACCAGATATCATGGGCGCTAGATCAGACTTTGAAGAGATTAATTTGAAAATATTACTTTCAGTCCAATAACACAACTTTTTATTTCAAATACAAGGAATCGTGTTTCAGATCGAAAGATCGTTTTATCAAACGGTAGGCTATTGTTCATTTGAAAAGGATTTTTTCAAGAACTTTATGCGGATGAGAATCTAGGTTTGGGGATGTACAAAAGGGTCTAACTGAAAATTTAGATACCTTTATTGAATTTAGTTAGAGTGTTTTTAAACACAGGTCATGGGAACCCTATGAAAAGTTTTGTTTCTCTCGGTAAGATGGGACTAAAAGGACAAACACATGAAGATACTCGAGGGTCTCAAACTCATGACCCGCGGGCCAATTTAGACATGCAGGAAGATATTTTGCGGCCTCTAACTTGACACCATCAAAGTTTAATGTTAAAGTGGCCCGAGCTTGGTCAATTTTTGAGAAAAGTGTCCTTCGCCTTTCAGGATGTTCAAGCCGACCATGTGCCTTTCTAGTAGCACCTAGATCAACCTGTGTGAAAAGCTCTTTACACGATGAAATAATAATAAGCCAGAGTGCTGATACGAACTTAAGGATGAGCATCTTCAAGCAATATTGAGGTTCTCATTAAATCCCTCCCTCAAGCCAAATATGGCTGATCTCTGTAAGAGGAAGCATTGGCAGCAAGGAGTAAAAATAATTAGTAAAAGAAGCCTGTGTTCTGAAGAACGGTTCATGTTCTGAATAGATTATGATTTAGAAGATAAATCAGTTGGTAGTTGTTGTTTTTTCAACACTTGAAACCTGTGGGAGGGAGGGGTGGTTGTGGAATACTTGGTGTGGCCCAGGCTCACACAGACCTCTAGCGGCCTTGAGTAAGTTGAGTTTTAGCCCCGTGTCCTAGGGGGAATAAAAGTCACGTCTTCAGGGTGCCTCCTCAGACGCCAGTTCGGGCGAAGGGGTTTGAACAATGTAATTCTAACTGTAGATGATAACGCCCCCACCGAGACAATTTAGATCATTTAGGAGGTAAGTTGCTTCGACCCTGTCTGGCAAATTCAACCCGGACTGAGAGGGATATAAGGTCACAGCATACTGACAGAGATATTCGATAGAATACCTCCCTGCACGGGAATTGAACCCGTGTCTTCTGCGTGCGGCAGCAAAGCTTTCGTATCATAAAATGCATGTAATGTCTACAATCAAACTTTGTAGTCGTGGTAGTCTACACTTATTTGACACACAGCCTGACACGTTTATTTCAGCTGTTTCTCTAACACCAAATCGTGTCATATATTATTTATAGAAACTCTCTCCTCCCCCCCCCCCCTCTCTCTCTCTCTCTCTCTCTCTCTATCTATCTCTCTCTCTCTCTCTCTCTCTCTCTCTCTCTCTCTCTCTCTCTCTCTCTCTCTCTCTCTCTCTCTCCACATCTCTCCATCTGTGTGTGTGTACGTGTGTGTGTGTGTGTGTGAGTGTGTGTATGTGTGTGTGTGTGTTTTGTGTGTGTGTATGTGTGTCCACCTCATCTCTCTCTCTCTCTCTCTCTCTCTCTCTCTCTCTCTCTCTCTCTCTCTCTCTCTCTCTCTCTCTCTCTCGCTTTCTCTCTCTCTCACACACTCTCTCTCCCTCACTCTCACTCCCTCACGCTCACTCTCCTCCTATCTATCTATCTATCTATCTATCTATCTATCTATCTATCTATCTATCTATCTATCTATCTATCTATCTATCTATCTATCTATCTATCTATCTATCTATCTATCTATCTATCTATTTATCTATCTATCTATTTATCTATCTATCTATCTATCTATCTATCTATCTATCTATCTATCTATCTATCTATCTATCTATCTATCTATCTATCTATCTATCTACAAGAATTACAACGTTCTATCTAAACCTGCTCAGTACCTAGTGTTGAGAAATTTGGAGTTAAAAAAATATTGAGTTTCTCAACATGGTTAAGCTTTTCCGAATGCAATTGTTAGACTGTCTTGATAACGACTCCGAATAGTCTTACGTTTTGGTAGAGCAGATTTTAAAAAAAGACATTTATAGTTTTCTGACCTACTGGTCTTAGAAACTCGAAAAGGCTAAAAATGTCAACTAGAACCTTGTACATGTAATTCTAACGTAGCTATCTCTTTAAACCGAAAACCCGGTTAAACAGAAGGACATTCAGCAATCCCTTAGATTTCGGGTTAAGCGGCCTCCACACTCCACAGTACTGCCATAATTATTTATTAGTGGCGTCCCAAAAAAACTTGAAAATGTAATCACCCAATCATCGTGTTATAGCTTTGTATTACCCGTTCATGCAGCATACCAATTTAAAGCTAAATAAATTCTGCATCATCTGACATACTAATAATATTTCATCTACATGTACGTTAAGAGACGCCCAAGATGGTAACTCAAAATTTACCTTGGAAAATCAGGCTTGGCAAAATTGTGCAAAATCAGTGAAATGTGAAATTGTATTCGTGCGTTTATTGAGGTGCATCGACATTGGTGGAATGGACTTGTATTGAATATTAAATGAAAAGAGAATATTATTTTCTTTTCAATGAACAGTATCTTCAGATGATATTTTCAAACAGATTGGAAAA